ATGCTCACTTCTTAAAAGCACTAACTCACAATGTTTAAGTTCATGACCAGACCAGGCTTTTCAACTCAGTATACCTTTAAAATTTCAAATTCTGTATTTTCTACATCTAACAAAGTTATAAATATAAGTCAAAAGTATAAAAAAAAACTTGACAACTTGATCCCTTGAATTTATAAATACAAGTCAGAAATATAAAAAATTCAATAAAAAAAATATCTTGAAGTGATAAAGTCAAAAATTTTGTATTTTCTACATCAATATAAGTCAGAAGTATAGATAATTCAAAGACCAGATACCTTGAAGTTATAAAGTCAGAGAAATATAGATAATATGATAATAGACAATAATGATGTCTGACACTTCCCTAGTCAATCAGACAAAATCATCATATTCAAATTTCAATCCAACCTATTTTTCTCTCTCTATCTAGTTATCTAGACAAGTTGAGTGTTTGTAATAGCTGAAAACCTTTTAAAATAATTATGGGCATTGAAAAAATTGTAAAGACTGTCTGTCGTTTTTCAGTCAATGGGCAATTTTTGCAGGAATTTCTCTCATTGAAGAAGTGAATTTGCTTAGAAGTTTCAGACTAACAAGTTTTATGTTACTAGATTAAAAAAACAGAAAGAAAACATTTATCAATCAGATGTCGACAGATAAAAAAATTGATCAAGTCAACTTTTTAAACATGAAAACATTTATGTAGGGCTGTGTAAGGACCATGGTTTCTTGCCCAATATCAGAACTAAACAACTTCCTTTGTTCAAATTAGATTTTGCCCACTTCCCATTCTGTTGAATGACCTAAATCCTTAAATTGGTTGTGCAGCTGGCAACCAGAAAAAAAAGAATTGGCATATACTGGTACTCAATATCTGACAATAACAGCTCAGCAGACGACAACCAAATTGCTACAAAAACTACAATTTATCTCGCTGCTGAGTTAGCTCTCTACTGTATTAATACCTTGAGCAGTACACCATTTGATCAATTGAATATCCCTGGGTAACATGAGTGTAATTAAGTAGAATTAATTAAGGAATAACAACCAGACCCTACATCTGGTTTTAAACTATTCTGATCTTCCAGTGAGATATTGATCATATTACAAAATATTCTCGTATATTATTGCTCGAATACAATATAAACCCTGAGTTTCTTGCCAGAAAGTCTCCAACTCCAAGGGATTGTAAAGATTTTTCTATACCTTTTATGATCATATTATGAATTATCCTATCATAGCCTCCCTGGATTACACTGTAATAATATAAACCCTGCGTTTTCAGTTAGAGAGTTAGTGAATTAAGATTCGTATATAGGTTCATTACAGAGTGAGATAAGCCATGGACATCCTCTCTCATCTGAACGTCCTGCTTTCACTTTCTCCACCACGTAGTCAGTCTTTCTGTTATGCAGCGTGATAAAAATGTGGTTTAATTTTTCAAAATAAAATTTTCAATTGCATGTCATTGGTCTTTGAAAACATTTGGGTAAATCGGATGATTTTAGGTAAAAAATTGAATTTGGAGTTAATCAATCAGGATAATTAATATTTTAATCAGGATAACGAGTTGAGATTAGTATCAGGTTAATCAGGTAAGATTAGATTAGGAAGTTGACTGACATCCCTAGAGGGTGTTACCCGGAGCTGCAGATGTTCACCTCTTAATAATGCCAGTTTTTCAATATAAAGCAGAGCCCATATCACAAAAATCACAGAATCATCTAATTTGAACCTATCCAACTACTACGACTACCAACAACTACCTAGTTTACGATATCAGCATCTGCTGGAAGCTGGAAACTTGTCATCTACCAACCAACAAAAATCTTTTGATCAATATTATGTCAAGTATGGTATTATTCAATATAAATTTCCACACTTACTACAAATTCTTAAACTAAGAATTATTTCATTTATGAACACGTTCTTTGAGTTATCTAGCAGCAAAAGTTAAAAAAAAACTTCAAAGTTTTAAAAAGCATACATTCCCATACATCAGAAGACTATGAACAAGGAAATATTTCAACTGATTTACAACTATAGTGTATATTGTATTTGTACACCGGTTACATATTCCTTAGATGAATCATTATATAGAGTGAGTTGGTCGTTATTCACCATGATATACATAGGGTTTATTATATTATACAACATTGTACTATTATCTTGCACATTGTTGTAAATATGCGAGATACTGACCACAACAAACAACAATTTCAAAAGTTCCAGGTCCATTATACATGTTTACATGAAATATAATCAACTGGACGAGGCAAGCCTCTTCCAAAAAAGGTCCGGTGTTTTAAAAGTTGTAAATATACGCGTGCCGGCCGTGATAACAATGTTTATTAGGTGATAACGTGAAATGTACGTGTTATGGAATATAAAAAGCATTTAAATCTTACCTGATTAATGCAGATGTGGAGAAATCTAAGGGTGTCAAGTTATTATCACAGATTTATCAGAAATTCTCCAATTTCACTCGATTATTTTCACACTTGAGTACAGTCCAGTACGATGCGCCGAGTCAGATGCGCAGTGGATAGACGCCGGTTCCTCCTTTATTCTTTAGTATCCAGACGTACACAAAATTTTCTCGACGCGGCAAACTTTTGTCATTTAATTCCCGAAGTGAATTTAAATTTCTTTTGATTGTCGTCAAATATGGTGTACGTTGTTTTTGAGACAACGGAATGAAATGGCAACTTGATTTTTTCAAGTTTGGGATTGGGTTATATTTTATATAGCTTTGTATGTCAACCAAGACTACTAGGCAACTTATGGTCTAAGGGAGACAACTATATTTTGTAATAAATTCAATATACATACAGACCACAGTTAATTAATATCAAAGCATGATCTGAGGATCTGTGTCATATTTTAACCCCCTCGAAAGTCTATTTATTCTTAGAGTTACAAGAAATAGACAAGACATAAGGGACTCAACTCGTGCCTTAAAGACTTGGAAAGTTTATCAACCAGTGAGCTAGACTAACTATTTGCAATAAAAGGAAACGTTGCACACTACTTTTCGCACTGTGGATTTTGGCAATCAGAGAGTGATTATTTATACGAAAAGAATGGAGATTTACGTCCTATTTCCTGCACCATGAGGGCTAATGAAGACGGAAGTGATCATACAGACAAAGGCGTAGACCCTATATACCACAATGCAAGACAAAACGCATCACTCATAACTTGCGCCTAGTAGTGTTCACTGAAGTTAACTCCACAACAATCTCGATGAAAAAGACGTTTCCTGGCAGAGGGGCGCCAATCGTATATACAAATGTGCTCATTTCAGTCGACGACCATTAAGCTAGACTATATATTTGAAACCGCATTCTGGAGTAAAAACTTAATGGGATGACGTCCCCTGAGGATTATAAGATTAAGGGCCAGACACAAACCTAAGAGTAGTAAGATTTTTTTAGAATTTTGACCACATTACTTAAATTTTGGTCCCCCTTCCACAAAAATCGTAAGTAACAAATTCTTAGCGTTAGGGACGGGACCCAAAACCATTAATGAGTCAATCAAGACATTCAGACAGTGGGTCAGAGCATTGTATGTCCAGTGATGATGTTTTGGTGGAAATTTTGAAAGATAAATGACATGATATTTCCTGGCAAGGGATCATTAACAGCCTGTAGCATCACCACATTTAATAACACACGAGATGTAGCTAACATACAACTTATACTGATTATTCAACTCCACCATCGTTTAAACCACACCCTCTATCTCTAAAAATATCTAATAGTTTCGAATTTTAACATTAAGCTCATCGTATAAAATATCAATATAATTTGTTTTCATTGTATTTTATAATGTATTCACGAATACAAAGAGAGTTTTGAATCTCTTAAAGTGACTGTAAAGAGGTTTTTAAAATTTTTGTGTGTAACAGGGGCACTGAGAGATTTGATCTGCATCAGACGTTTGATTGAAAATTATAATGGTGCAGATTGATGCTATCGAAAACCTCTTTACAATCCCTTTAGTGTTTAATATTTTATAATGTTACACTGATCATTTCATTAAGACTTCCAATTAATAATATAGAACTGAAAATTGCATTTGAAAAGAATTGCAGAACGGCTAATGAAAAAAATATAAGACATAATTGAATAATGCACGTACGTAATAACACCATTAAACATATTGTCAATTAGGAAACTTTCTATGGAGGCAATTAGCGGCCTTTTTGAATTCTTAGAATCATCCCATGTATGAAATTTGTAAAGTTATAAAGTTAAAGTAGAACTGTCGAATTTCACAAGACCCAGTTTTTGTCAAGTTTGTTGATGAACCCTTTATCAATGAGTCTAGGGCACCAGAAAACCCAGGCAGATCAAATCTGTTGTCATTGTCACCAAAATATACAAAATATAACTAGGAGACGGAATAAACTAATGTATATCAAGTGCTGGCACGATGTATCGCGATACATGTCACGATACGCATTTCGTACTGCGTATCGATACCTGACGATAACCCTCATTCCATTAAAGAGTGGGGATTTTTATAAGTTGGTGAATGGATCACAATTTCTTTTCGCACACTTGACTGAAATTGTTGGAAACTATACGACAGTGGACGTTAACCACTCTCATCAACTACAGTTATAAATTGATATATATTGAAACTTAGAGGAAAAATTGTTAATTTTTACCCCATATCGTATCGTGATCCCTGTATCGCGATACGTATCGTATCGTGGCATGATTGGCGCTACACAGCACTAGTATATACATAGTTAATACGACGGCTGCCTGAAAAGTTCTAAGCCAGGTACATTGTTTTCATGTATTTCTCTACACGGTCCTCTTTCAGGTTTAAACACTTTTGCCAGTGGTGCTGTAAGCTCTGCTGGGTGTAAATCAATAAAATATTTTGCACATTGAATAAAGTCTCTTTAAAAATATAAACGGAAAAATCCATCTTGTGCTATGGCTCTTTAAATACTTCATAATAATATATATTAATATAAACCAGTAAATATATATTTCTCTTATTGAACAATTACAAGCTTTTAAATAATCCATTTACAACTTAGTGGATATTAGACCATTTCCATCATAAATATAACTTAATGACTTGGTAGAATCTCTTTGATATTGTCTTAACGTCCAATTATCTCCCCTTGTTATATCTGATTCTTCTGACGTTACTATAGCAGAACCCGACGGATTATCACAATTAGTACTATTTTTTGAATTGTCTGCTACATAAAGTTCGATGTCATCCCAACCGACAAAACCACTGTCCTCCATGCTGAGTTGCGCCCCCTGAATGTCTGCTTCTATAATGTGCTCTGACTGAATAGAATTGATCAAGTTTCGTCTGGACGCTAAAATTCCGTTACCACCATTCTGAACGGAAGAGTTCCCACTAACACCCGGCCTCATCACTAAGGAACTAGATTCTAATTTTTCTAACTCTTTTTTCAGCTTTTTCTCCCGCTTTTTACGACTCCGGCGTCTGTTTGCGAGGTCATTATGTCTCCGAACTGTTCTCAAATGAGTGGGGAATGTGATAATGTCAACTAACACTATTAAACCTACGAGTGAAAACGCAACGATCACAGCCGTTGATCCAACATACGTTGAAGAAGGTCGCGGATCCGAAACGCTGGTTTTCTTTAAGATCGATTTCCTTTCTTTATAAACTGTTTCCAGTTCTTGAAGTTCTCTTACTTCTTCTGGTACGTACGATTCATTGGGTGGTTTCGATGATAATTCTATTTCTGTACATATTGTTAAAATGTTATTCCATTCTAAACGAGAAAAACACAAGATTCAAAATAAAATTCAGTGTTTAAATCTACTTTTCTTCCGGAAATTAGAATAAAATTTCCTCTATGCGAACAATAAAAGTCATCAAAATTAACCGTAACTAATGATCTCTGCAACGCCCGATCTATGTTGCACAAGAATGAAATTGCGAAAAATATAGCGGGAACTATTTTTTTCAAAGGTATAACTTACCGGAAGATGATATTATATTCGTTGAGGTGATGACGTCAAATGACGAAGAAATGACGTCAAAAGATGACGATATGAATTCAGGAGATGAAGTGACGTCATATATTGAGGTTACGTCATACATAGAAGTGACGTCATATGATGATGAGGTATACTGAGATGAAAGGAAGAAGGAACTTGTATCGTCTATGCTACTATAAATAGATGATGGGGTTGGTAATATACTACTTGACGTCACAGAACTTGTGTTCAATATTGTACCTAGAATAATATATAACAAATCTATTACACCTTAAGTTCGTCATTTTTGCATTTTCTTACAATCTATTTTAAATAATATTTGCTGTACAAAATTTAACAACATAAAAATGACTGGCAATTTTGCTGCAAGTAAATTTGTCAATGAATTTACTGGATGACATCTTACAGTGTAAATAGTCATACGACAATAACTGTCGATAGCACGTTTAAATGTCTGTCAGTTATTACCTGTATTACAATTTCTCTGATAGTAATTCCAACTTGGGTCGTATGCTATGAATGAGGCAGGCTTTAAATTTCTACTGACGTCACTCAGTTGACAGAATTGTCCAGACGGACGATATTCAAAACTTCGGCAGATGAAATCAGTGGCGGAATTACAGTGTTCTTTACAGTCCTCCACGCTTACTTGCTCTATAAGCTGCCTATTGTGAGATATCAGACTCGCTCCATATATCACCTGGTAAATACAGCCGCCTGAAACATGAACACCAAGATCTTTGATAAATAATAAATCACAGGGAATAGCTTATAGAATATATATCACTGTTAATGGGATAGTTCAAAGGATAAAACTATCCTGTCTAAAAATAAGATGCATATCATGTAAAGCTCTACGGCAGCAATGATATACATGTAATTTCTTTGCATAATGAAAGGTATGTCTGCATCAATTCATATAGACCCTCGGGACTACAGGTTAAGATGGCACGACACGAGTAATAAGATTACTTAGTGTATTTCCTTTAAACGTACTGTGTAGAATGATCACAACGCTTCATTGTGGGTGACGGCACCAACTGAAAATTTTGTGGCCCCTGCTCGGCCCCTTAACCAATGTTTTTTTAGAATTACGTTCGTGTGTGTTATTTTCATGTAAGAACCATACGTAGTTTCGTTTTGTATGTATACGGTTTCGCACCTAAGTTTCAGGTTAGATTTTGATAGACTTTGAAAATGAATTTCCATGGCGTATAAACGACAAGAGACCATTTCTTCATTTCGTATTTACATTTCACCTAATTAACTCAATATCAAAGTTATTTACCTTGTTTGATTTCACAAAGTGAAGGAAGTTTGCTGGAACAGTTTAATGGAAACCAATTATTAGGGTGCTTGAAAACCGAAGCTACACAGGACATTTCAATATCAGTTATAACTGGTAGTTCACCATTCCAATTATCCCAGTCTTTCTCTGTCCCATCAGTCCATGTCCAAATGTTGGGACTCCGCTGACGCAAGCCAACCCAGAACATCGAATCCCTGGAAAATAAAGATTTCTACATTATATCGAATCTACATGGTGGATTATTCGATTCGATGTGCAAATACACACAGATATTAGGAATTTTAGGTTGTAACATTGCGGTTAAGCAATGTTACGAAAGCACAGGCACAGGCATGCAGGTTTAACCTATAGTGAGAGAGTATTGTTTGTGAAGTTAGTTTGAACAATATAACATAATTTGTTTTAGTATCTATAATTGATTGGTTTCGTGAAAATTGGTATCTTTAAAAACTGTGGTGACTAGAAAATCAATCTGTTTGTCGCTAATATTTGAAGTTAATTTTACAGAAGGATGGTGGTTACTGGGAATATCAAAATATTCCCCAAATAACTGGGGACTAACAACTACTGTTACACAGCTTTATGGAACAGCAATCATTGGCTAAAGTTTTATGCAACGTTTCGACGTGTTTCCTCCGTCGTCCTCAGGCACATAATGAAGCACGTCGAAGCGTTGCATAAAACTTTGTCCAGTGATTGTTGTTCTATAAAGCTGTGTCTATATATAGTACTCACAATTACTAAATGCTATTTAAAGACTTTATTGTGGTGTTAATATTTAGTAAACTAAGCAGTTTGGAAAGGTTATTGTACATTTTAAACCTAGGGTACGTGTTTCTATAGGGGTCCAAGGGATTCATAAACGCCACTGTGATTTCCTTATCATGCGTCCTTGCTGCGGATTTATCGGTGCAGCTTTTCAATTGAAATGAAATGAAATGAAATGAATGGAGTTTTACGTCCTACTTTTCTGCACGATGTGGGCTAACGAAAACGGGCAACGCCATGCAGGGTGCAATGGGGAAAATTTTGCCAGGACAGTGGCATTAGTCTGCTCTTTTTCGATTTCCAACTGTCGAGGAATCTTTAACGTGCACAGCCTGTAGCACACGGGGCCTTGGTTTATTGTCCCATTCGAACGACTAGACGCTTTTTCTATGCCAGCCTCTCTTACCTGCTTTTCAATTGAAGAAGCGAAGAGAAAGTATCGGGCACAGATTTATGTTTTAATTTTTTTTATCATATTAAATCGATAATTTATTTTTTTAGCTCCGCTTGGTCTGATTTAATTGTCGTATTTTTTTTACTCATGTTCATTCGGTATGTTTTTAGCAATAATTTGTCTGATATAAAATGTAATCAAGTTGTAGAGAATATATGATTAACCAATAAGACAATAAAACTCGGGTTATTATCTAGTGAGGCTTTGTTTTGGTTATAAATTATTGAATATAGCCCAATACTACATCGTCTAATTAAAACACCCACTGTTTTTACACATAATATCATAGTTACAAGGGTCAGAAAAACTGATATCAAATCAATACGAGTTTTACACCCTACTGTTCTGTATTTTATTGTGCTCTTAATAATGATAAGAAATTCTTTCTGTTAATTGTGGCCAGATTAAAACGACCCATACCATATACATAATATATACTGAGGGGTAATAGAGCATAAATTGGGTAGGTTGTCAGAATTTTTCATTTTTCCATTGTTATTGAGAAACGCGTTCTACATGCTACGCTTTGATTGGTTAAAAAGAAGGTTGTAAGAGCGAGACAGAGGCAGAAAACTTGTAAGATTAAAATGAAGTCGAGAATAGTCAGAAAAAAGAAATTAAACAGTTATATTATTTTAATAATACTGGGAAGGATACAAAAAAATTGAAAGTGGGATGGGGGGGGGGGGGGGGGGAACCCGGGCCAGCCTCTTTTCCGGGGGGGGGGGGGGGGGACTCCCTGCAGCCCCTGCAGCCCCCTGCACCCCCGTAGAAAATCCACTGAACGGGTATACCCTGTTGTTAGATCAGACACCATCTCAGTTCAGTCTCTGTTTTTAAAAACCTATTGTAATCACCACAGGATATGATTAATAGTTTTTAAAACGCCCAGAATTTTGAGGCAGAGTGGAATATATATTTGACTAATTGGATGGTATTCTATAGAAAGAGTATCTAGGATTCAAATCGATTTTAAAACTATTCATTCTAAAAATAATACTGAAACTATTATCTTATCATTGATTATATTTTGTGTATGGCGGGCATTATCGGATTCTCTTAACTCGAGGGTGGGTTTGGCCTAAAAAAGAGAAAGCCTAAAAAAGAGAAAGGCGAAGAAATAGGCGAGAAGTGGAAAGAAAAAAGCGAGATAATGAGAAAGTGAGAAAAGCGAGAGAATAGCGAGAATTCGGGAGCAATATTTTTTTGTCTTCTCACCCTTGTCCCAGCTTTCTCGACTTCTCAACTTTTCGTCTTTTCGCGGTGCAGCATTTTTTGTCACTTTTTCACCTTTCACGATTTCATTCTCATTGCTTTCTTCCCCTTTTCCGAGCTTTCTCAAGTTCGAGGACACTTTCTTAATTTAAATAACTGCGGTGAAAGAGCGGTTTGGCGTTTCAATTCGGATTCAATGGTCTCGGGGAAAGGGGCTGGGGATGTTAAGGCTGACAAAAAAGTTTTTGAGATGAAATGCTTCGAGCATGTATTACAGATCCTTTATCAGTTGGGAATAGGATGAGAGCTGAACATCTTCTCCCGACTGCACACTGATTGGCTTCAATACAGCCAGGTAAAGAACACCAGGACCTAGACGTCATTCCAAGATTTCAATAGACCGGAACTTACCCCGATAGATTGAGACTCCCTATAGTAGATAAACTGTAAACAGTTGCTAGGTTACCAGTAGATTCCTGACATTGTCTTTGAGCCTCAGTCCATGTCTGGTTGGAACTGTTGATGAAATATTTTCTCCCATATGAGAACTCGTTTTTACTTTGACCTAAAAAGAGAAAACACAAATTCATAGCCATGAAAACTTATTAAAATTCCTGTGACTTAAAAAAACGGAACTAAAAATCGTGCATTAATGGAAAACGGACGCAGTAGATGCAGTAGAGCAATGTCAATTCGTTAAATGGTTCACAATGACTAAAACCTCGATGGTAAGCTGTGATCACTACTACTTATTAGTTCAGCTAGACATTTCCCGTTTCTGAGACCACGGTGCGATTAAACCCCGAAAATGGTGAACTATGTCCTTATACAAAATTATAAACTGTATCAAAAAAACCCATAAAATTATCGAATGATATAAAATCGTTTGGTGAATACAAATTCCTTATTGTTTGAAATCTTTATGCTGTGCTGGTGCAAAAGGAATTCAGGTCTTGCTTGAAGAAATTTAATGATTCCAGCTAGTACAGGAATCTATCATTGACTGAAAGCTGATTGTTTTGATGTGAATAGTCCGAAACACCTGCCTCTATTCCAGCCTCTTATATCAATTTTGAATGTTGTTGGTCAGTGTAGAGACAGAAAGATTAGGCCTTGTTTTATGGGATTTTTGCCGCACCTCCAAATGTGTGGATGTTTTAAACCTATTTATTTAAATCTGATCCGCCAAACCCTAATGCATTAGGAAAGATGGATATTTTTCAGTCTTACCATCATAGTCCCACAACACCATTTATGTCACGTTTGCAGTTCCATTATTTTTTTTTAAACTAAACTGATCTCTCGTTAGCCATTTAAAACTGCGTGCGCAGCCAAAAGCTCAAGGGTCACGAAGTCACGTGATACTAACAAAAGTGACGATGCTGCCCAACACTAATATACAGTCATCTTAAAGGTAATTTAATATTATGTTTTGTGACTCAACTCCAGCCGATAACTGTCAAAATATCTATCAGTGGCTGGAATACAGGCAGATGTTTCGGACTATGATGTGAACTGTTGACGCTGGTGTTTCTAATTAAATGGTTTAGAAATCTGCCAAACCGTTCAGTTTAAATCAATATAAATTACGTGGTTTAACATTCGATAACATTTTGAATAAAACAGGGTACAAATGTACTTACAATGAAATGCCTTCGCTTTCTCTACTTCCCCAAGAGTCCCTCACACCATAGTGATTACTAGTCTCGTATGGTTGTGAATAACGAATAGCGGTCATAAGTTTCGAACGCAGCTCATGTAACTGAGCTGACTCTAAATGATTATTATAAATAGGTATAGTTCAGAAAAAAAAATCAGCAAATATTTGAAGGGAATTAAGAGCTTTAAATATTTTCGTAATATTTTCTCCATCATTATCAGATACACCTCATTTCAGCGACCCATTGCCATACTACCCTCAAGAAAGATCGACTAGAAGTGACGATAGTTTAAAGTGAAGAATGTTTCTCAGATGAAGCCAGAGCCACAGTACCATGACGTCAGGGACTACTACAGAATCAAACAATTCCTTCCCCGAAATCTATTTAATCCAGACGACTAAACGCTTTGTCAGCCCCCCTTACCTACATCACCGACATGGGGAAACTTGTTGAAAAATCCTAAGGTATGTCGACCTATGTCGGGATTGAACCCTGGACCTTCGTGTTAGTGAGCACGCGTCTAACTCACTGAGCCATCGCAGCTCCCTATGGGCTAATGAAGATTTTAAAGAGGTGTATACGAGTGAGTTCATCAGACCCATACCTTGCTATTGTCACATTCGATCTTATTATGGATTTCTTTTACTTATACATCCCAAATTGAAAAATTATGCATATATACCACTTAACCAACTGACCGAAAAAGCAAGCAGAAAATCTGTCAATAAAGAAATAGTTATCCATAAAGACGAACCCAGTTGCTTGAGGTCATTTAATTACACCATGCCACTCCAAGTAGAAATCATTAATTAATTAAGATAAATGAGATGGTATAATATGATATTGGTAGAAAGGACTGTCTGATCTCGGATGGTTCCAGTGCAGTACTGAGTTCTAGAGTTAAGGTTGAGGGAGACAAAACATCCTATCTTAATTTCACCCAATCTACATTACAATTTCGTTTTGTTATTATTATTTTTTTCTGCCACAATTGTAATCTAACATGACCATTTTAAATTACTGTGCCGAACTAGTAAGCAGACCAATGGCAGTTTCTGTAACTAGAGTGAAGGGGTTTAACGTTTATAACGTCGCAAACTTCATAAACAACCCCAATATTTGAGTGTATCGATAGATCTATTGATTTTGGGCGAATATCTACCATCATTATTTTCTGGGCTGATTAAGACATGGCGAGTTGTGACAGCCATTAATATCTTTTATAGCCAGTACAACCATAACCATAGCATGAAGTTGGCAATAAAAAAATAGCGGTCGATCAAAAGCTAACGCCAAACAGCAAACAATTTTATGGTCACTTAAAATTAAAATCTGCAAAATCTGGCAAATATCCTTCAAGGATCGATATACGCATTCTAGAGTAGGTCTTAACTAATTTTGTGAAATATGGAAGAATACATTTTGATTTCTGTCCACTAAAAATGTTTTCGGCCTTGCAAATGAGATGACTGTATTCTCTTGTGGTCTCGGATTACGGCATCATGAGTAGGGCGAATGAGATAATCTTTCTCTGAAGAGATATCATAATTGGCGGTTGAGGCTATCCTGTAACGACCTGGGTGTAACTAAACATATATTATTAATATTGAGAGAAGAAGAGGGTATTGTTAGTTATGGAGTGTGTGTATATTTCTGTATTGTTATCAACAGGAAGTAAAATTTAATTAACTCAAGAACCAACCAGTGGGATCAGTCCTTACGCACTAACGGAAACCAATATGTTAAAGCCAAACGATGACGAACTTACGTAGACCGGTCATTATCTGTCGAAATCGAAACTACGTTACAACCGGATAGGGAGCTCATGACTTCAAATCCAGTGTAATAGTCGAAGTCGTAATGAACGCAAAGAATTATACTGAACTATTATGCTAAAGCCAAACGATGACGGACTAACGTAGACCGGTCATTATCTGTCGTAATCGCATTGGAAACTACGTTACAACCAATTGCCGCTCCAGAAACAACGAATGAGGAGCTCATGACCAGTGGCGGAGCCAGGTTTACGTCCGAGAGGGGCCGAGATATCTGAGATTGCTCAAAACTCTAACCTAGTTATGAGATTTTTGCCCGAAAAACTTGATTTCGGGGCTGCGAGGGGACTTTACCATTCTGTGGGCCAACAACTGAGCTCAATGTTCACAATCAAATGAAACATAAATATCCTCAATGCACTGGTCACGAGAACTAACGGACGAGGATTCGGTACATATCTATATATAGAATGAAAGAGGGAGTAGTGAAAACACACTGGCACCAACGTTGCATGACAAAACATACAAGCGGATTACAAACTGATGACAACCGAAACTAATTGATAAGGCGTGGTCGTTACACATTAGCTACTGTAAAGCTCCAATATTCTGTTTATTGCGATAAGAGCAAATTTGATATTCAAATAACACTTTATATGAATAAAGGAATAAAGAATTTCAATTCCGAATATTTCTTGAAAATCTCGACAGTCTAAAAGGACATCGTTAATCAATTACTGAACTATATTCTCTAAATTCAAATACCGATAAAATATATTTGATAAATACGGTGGAGTTTCCTATTTATTGATTTTTAATTCTTGATTAAAGCTAGATTTTGTTGCATCTGACATCAAAATGAAAAATGCGAAATGAATTTTTACTAGTTGCAATCTGAATCTAAAGAAACAAGACTTGAGCAAAAATTCGAAAATCTGTAATTAAACAAGACAGATTTTAGGACTAGATTTAAGCTAAGACTTACAAATAAAACGTACGAAGTTCGTCTTCGATTCAATGACAGAACTTTAGAGAGACAAGGCATAGTTCAGATTCAGATAGTTATGGTCAAAACTAAAATATTTGGTCGAATCTGAGACAAGCTCATAAGAAGTACGAAGCGCATTTTTAGTATTTTACCTAGCCTTTGACGCCATTTGACGAAACCAAACATTGAAAAGCGTCTTCGAGTCAATGACAGAACTACAGATAGACACAATAAAGCATAGCCTGGCAGTAGGGGGAAAAATGGGGGGGGGGGGGGGTGGTTCAGAGGGGGCTGTCGGGAGTTTTTTTCGGGCAAAAATACTCATAACTAGGTGAGAAATTCGGGCAATATTTGGCTCCCTTCTCGGATGTAAACCTGGCTCTATCATAAGAGCCTGGTTAGTTTTTATCAAAATGTGAAAATCCAAACACTCTATCAGAAAGGCCACAATATTGTTTTTGAAATCCAGGGCCCAGGAAAGCGCCACCTTCACAATGAAGATACCAGACTTTTGAGAAAGATAATAAATATTTGATATATTCTGATATTATGTTCGTGTTAGAGGAAAATAAGACAATAAAGATTTATAATACATATTTTATAACTTGAGGAAGAATGGACAGTAGGCCTACTTAAGATGAATATTTCAGTATTTCTCATTACGTGATATTTCCTCATGGAAGGGAGTAATAGACCTATTACTTGTGAATATTAATGTATTAAACGTACATTCAAAGTAAAGATCTCGGGGTAATGTACGAAGTTAAAGCAACCAGAGCTGTGAGATATTCTTTTCTTCCATTGATGAAATCCTTAAATTTACATGCGACATTATTTTAAGTTGTGCATTAAAAATGATGATTTGCTAGGTTCATAAAATCAATTCTGAATAATTGGCATTACATGTAATTCTAATACAAAAGGTCTGCTGTGAAAGTTCCGCTTGTACTCTGCAACATAGATTTAGCTTTACGTATATTGCATAAGATTGACAACTGTACTCAGACCGATTCAGCTTCACGAAAACTGTTTGTTAAATAATTCTTATAATATAAACACACCGTTTACCTAGAATATCTTTAAAATGGCGTGACAAGAAAAAAATATAACAATTTTTACTTTATTTATGAAATTGTGTGGTGATGTATCGTGATGTCACGTGAGATCAGGGTCCGATGATCAATCAAATAATGTCATAAAGTTGTCGATAGTTTATAAAAACAAACAAAATCAACTAGTGGTGAATACAATACAATTAAAAATGTCAAGGTTAAACATGGGGATCCTTCCATTGTTTGATGTTTTTATTTGATACCTAGGATAATGACACCAAGAGATTAAGATTTTGAGTACAGAAAAATAACCAAAGGCGGAATTTGCATTGACGTTTTTTTAAGCATTTGAATTATTGCAGGTCGCATGCGCTGGAATGAAAAAGAGCGTATAGTCGTTTCATAGTTCATTTTTTATCAGGAAAGGGCACGTTTTCGCCATCCATCATTTCCTCACTGTAGCAAGAAACAGGCCCTTCATTGATTGGTAAAAGAGTGCAAAGGTGGTAAATAACATCAAAGATTACAATCAAGACGAAATATTCAGCCAAAAGATTTTCTCAAACTCACCTTCAACAGCGACCCACAGAAACAATATCTGTATCATTACTTCTCTAATAGTCTTCATAACAACTATCATTATTACTACCTGAAACATAACATTATCATCTAAATCATTGGTTATATTGTGTTATATTGATAACTGAAACTTTTCAAAACAAATGAGTAGAATGGAGTGTTACGTTCTACTCTTCTGCGCCTCATTGGGCTAATGAAGACGGGCAACGTCA